GAGGTGCAGGGAACATGGGGCAGCCTTTGTGCCTCCTGCTGGGACCTCTTGGACGCCCACGTTCTCTGTCATCACCTGGGCTGCGGGTTTGCGGTGTCCATTCCTGGAGGAGGGCATTTTGGGAGAGGAAGTGGCCCGGTGTGGAATGACTGGTTCCACTGTGAGGGGACTGAGAGCAGCCCGGATCAGTGCCCGGTGAGCGCCCTGGGGGCCTCTGCGTGCTCCCATGAGAACGATGCTGCCGTCATTTGCTCAGGTGTGTGTCAGGATAACGCTGCAGGAATTGCGCCTCGTGTGCCACACAGCCACCCAAAAGTCCCCTGGGATCCTATGGCATCACCAGGCTGAACCCGTCCCCGGAGCAATCCTGCAGCGTGCATTCCTGGCATTTCTGCTCCCCCCAGGCCCGCCTCACAGCGCATCTCTAAGGCTGGTGGGTGCAGGGAGCCGGTGCGACGGGCGCGTGGAGATGTTGCAGCGCGGGACGTGGGGCAGAGTCCTGGATGATCAGTGGGACATGGAGGACGCGAGCGTGGTGTGCCGGCAGCTGCGCTGCGAGGAGGCAGAGGCAGCCTACACTGTGCCGAGGGCCGAGCGAGGGACGGGCCCCGTGGGGCTGCGCGGGGTGCGGTGTGCAGGCCACGAGGCCGGCCTGAGCCTCTGCAACACCTCCCTGCCCGAGGCCGCAGGCATCGTGGAGGACGTGGGGGCCGTGTGCCGGGGTGAGCAGCGCGTCCCCTGGATGTGGGATCGGGCGCGCGGCCGGCCTCTGACAGCCGGGGCTTCCCCCCGCTGCAGGGAGCCGCCAGGTCCGGCTGGTGGACGGGGCTGGGCGATGTGCAGGGAGAGTGGAGATCTACTACCGGGGGCAGTGGGGCACGGTCTGCGACGATGCCCCACAGTGCCTGGGACACGGCCGACGCCAACGTGGTTTGCCGCCAGCTGAGCTGCGGATGGGCCGTGGAGGCGGCCGGCTCGGCTCGCTTTGGGGAGGGCTCCCCAAAGCCAGAGGGCACATCTGGCTGGATGGCGTGAACTGCTCTGGGGCCGAATCTGCTCTCTGGAACTGCTCTGCTGAGGCCTGGGGACAGCACGACTGCGGGCACAAGGAGGATGCGGGAGTCATCTGCTCAGGTCTGTGCTGGGAGCCCAGGACGGGGAGGCCGGGGGGCTGAGGCCACCAAAGGCCGCTTCCCG